AGAGGGCGATTAAAAATGCAAAAATAAGTGTCTTATGGTATATATTTTTTTATTATATCAAAAATTATAGAGTTTATATTTAAATATATATTTATTATAAAGAGAATAGAAACAGTTTTTCTTTTTTTTCCAGTGAAAATTGTAACATTATGGATTCAAAACATTTTAATAGATGCATATAATACAGAAAAATCTTCTGAAAAATAACATATAAAATAAAGTTTTTCATTAACAATAGAAAATATTTATGAATAATGGAAATACACAAGTACCATGGAAAATTTTGGAAATATTGAAAAATTAGATGCAATAAATTCCAAATCTAGGAATTTCGATTTAATCTTGCATTGAGGTTAAAAGGTCTGTATCAGTATTCAATTATAAATTATATTAGAAAAATAAATGCAAAAAAATACAAAATTGTAGATTATAGATTAATCAATAATGCATATAATAGGGTATTTCACAAACAAAAACGTAGAATAATTAAATATAATATTTTAAAAATATTAAGGAATTCATACCTTAAATTTATTGTCTTTATTCTATAAAGTGAAAAATCATTGGTCCTAAAAGAGACTTTCTGATGGACTGTTGATTTAAGTATCTCTTGAGTTTTGATTCATTGCATGAGAGAATCCATTACTGTGATTCTTTGACTTCTATGACTGATATGAAAATGCTTGAAATAATACTGATTGAACAATACTTTTTCATTATTTGCTTGATACAATTGAAAAAATTAAGACACAAATTTATTCTACTCTAAACTTTTACTAATTGCAAGAATTGAATTAGAAGTAATTTCTAGTTTCAAGTACAATTGGATTCTGTCCTAAAAATTCACATTTTATTTTCCTTGTATCCTTAAGAGGAAAGTGTTTTTAATTTCTTTTAAATTTGTTTTTAAAGAATAATTCTTGTTAGCCTTTCAACATATATAAATCATATCTAAATGATATATATTATGATAATTTTAAAATGAAATAACGAGGAATCAGTCAAGTACATATAACTTAAATATGACATTAGAATATGATATTAGAATAGCTAAATTTTTTAAATCAAAATCAAAATTTATCATTATTTATCGATAATTTTGTTTGACAATAAAGATCCAATTTAAAAAATCTTTAATACATGACTATAATGGAATAATGGAACAAGTAAAAGTTTTTCAAATGTCACATGTAAGTCTATTGCTTCAAGAAAATATTAAACAAAGAATTATTAGAACTAAATCATTTAAAAATATATATAGGCTGATAAATTTATTACAATTTATTCTATTATTATTCTAACAAGACATTCTATTGATTTTTCATTGATTTTCAATTTTCTTTACATGATAGTAAAATTTTTTCCAATCATCCATCATCAACACACATAATATCTTTAATTAGTCTAAATATTAAAATTTCTAATTCATTACATGATGACATTGCTGGATTATTTTCTTGAATAAATTGTTTCCTTTTATTCCATTACTAGTTCAAACTAATTCAATTGGATTAAAATCACATATAATTTAATTTCAATGTATTATGATCCTATAGTTTAATACATTCATTTATTTTAAATATTTTTTCTATTTTTTATATTTTTCTGTAAATTTTATAATTTTTCATAATTCATATTTAATCATATATTATATATATTATATAATATTATATAATATTATATATATATTATATAATAATATATGGAATTTTATTTTCAATTATTTATTTTAATCATATCCTTTTTCTTAGTAGAAGATTTAGGAGATGATTTATTAATTTACATTGTGTAATATAGAGTATTATTCATAATGAATCCATATTACTGAAATTTATGAAATTGTACAATAATTTTTCTCTGATTCATTTTTCAAAATTTAAAGTTTATTTGTCCATAATAACCTTCTATGATATGCATATTAATTGACCTTTTTTAATAAATCTACTTTTTCTACTAATGTGCTATAAATTTATAAAAATAATTTCTATTTTTCAAAATATCAATCAATTTTTTTATTTTATCAATATTTATTAATAATCATTGTATAATCTACTCTTTAATCAATAGAATATTTCTATTTTTTTGTAATATCAGATACAATATATATCTGTTTAGATGACTTTTGATCTGTTTAGATGCTTGGTCTTTCAATTAATATTTTTCTATATTACTACTGTACTTTTTCCATTCAAAATCTATATTTTTCAATATTTTTTCAATATAAAGTTCATAAATCGTATTTCTTATAATGCTTCTTTAATAATAAAAAATTTTGTCACTCTCATCGCGTTTCGTCTGGAGATAATAGTAATAAGGTTTCTCCAGATTCTGAATTCTCTTTTTTTTTATTATTCTTTCTGATCAATGTATAATCGCAATATGATGGTTTATTATAAAAGATGCCGAAGATTTGTTTTGTGCCTTTTCATCACATTTTCTTGATTCTTTAGGTATTTTCTCTCATTATTACTTTTTTTTTTTCTGTAAGATTCCAGAATATTTTTTAATTTATTATTTAAAAATTATTAAATTACTATTAAATAATAAATTATTCACAACAAAACAAAAATACTATGGATAATAAAGCAAAAATAAATTCATAGTAGACTGAAAATTACTAACATACATAATTTATTACAAATTAATGTTATATTAATAAAAATAATATTTAAATATAATAATATTAAGATAAAAATAAAATTAAATAATTATTAATTAAATAATATTTTTAAAAATTATTTGATGTTATACATTTGAGAATATTTTTAATAATTCAGAAATTAAATAAAAATCGTTTATTTTTTAGCCGCTACAGGCTAATTAAAGACTTATATTTAAAAGAAAAGTCTTTTTTTGAAAAGAATCAAGTATCATTTTTCGATATTCTATGAAAATTATTTTTTCAATAATGATTCAAGTTCAAGTTGTTAGATGTTTAAATGTAATATCAATTACATTTGATATCAATTGATATTTTTTCATCGAAATTTGTGAAAGAGAAATCTTTTAAAAATTTGAAAAAGACATTATTATAAAAATATGAGCAGTATTATATATAATATATAGAAATTCTACTTAAAAATGAAAATTTATTAAAATTTTATTTCAACGTTTTTATTTTTAATTCATATGGCAGAATAAAAAATCTAAAAAATCTAAATAAACCAATTTAAAAGACAAATGGAAACATAATCAGATTTTAATAAGTATAGAAGTAAGTATTATATTAGAAAAATAAATATTTTACTATTATATCAATATATTTTACTATTATGTCAATGTATATTATATTTTAAATTTCAGGAACATTTCAAAATAGGAATAGCGATGAGTTTACCGATTATTAATTTATCAGTAATGCATAGTTATAAAGAATCTGCAATATAATCTATTTTTATAATCTATCTGTTATATTTACATTTTGAGATATTGACAGAAAATATTCGATTAATCTTTAAAATCTATAGATTATATCTTTCTATGTTTGTCTCTGCATTAGCTTTTGTTTCAATATTTTACTTAAGATTTTTCATATATAATATATATAGAAGTATTTATCTAAAATTTCATCTATAAATTAGATTGTCATATGATCCTACATTAATAGAATCATTATTGTTTACGATTATACGTAAATTTCTAATTTTCATTTTATATTCGATTTTCTCCAAACATAATTACGTTCATTAAAATGAAAAATGTTTATTATATTAAATTTATGTTCATCGGAAAATATAATAATATTTCAAAAAATATTGTTTTTATTAATATTTTATTAATATATATTTTTTTAATTCTTTTTTATATTGTTTTTTCGATTTATCTTGTTAATATACGATTTCTTTTTGCTATTCTCTAGTAAAAATTATATTCTTATAAGATTTTTGACAGAATATGAGATTCTTCTTGAGACAAATAAAAAATAATTTCTAATTCTTCATTACAAATGTGATAATGATTATATCTAATATGTTAAAAATATTATTTAAATTATCGAATTAGTTATAACGAATTACATTTTTTATAATATTTATGAAAAATAATAAATTTTTTTTTCAATATACAAGATGTTAATATATTCATGGGATATTTTTGAAGATCGATTCTAAAAGCAAAACAAATACAAATATTAATATAAATCAAAAAAATGAAAATTATGGCTTATTTATAAATTATAAGCAATTTAATTTTGTATCAGATGCAACTTAGAAATGAAGAGAAATGAAATCATTACAATTCGAATATAATAATCATAAAAATATAATAATAAATAATATAATAATCATTTATTATATTTTTATTGCAACATGTGATATAAAAACCAAAAAATATTGTAGGGAATTTTCATTAAAATATTCTTGTGAATTTTTTGCAAAAATATTTACCAAGGAGTTTTACCAGATTTTTTTTTTTTTTTGATTCATTTATTTATTTATATCCATTTTAGATAAGCTTATTATAGGAAGAAATATACATCTTTATATTGATAGTTACGTATATTTTTTACACGCATTCAGATGCATAGAATAACAATTAAAGTACTTCAATTCAAAATTAATTAGAGAAAACAACGCTAACAAATAATTTTTTTCTTTTCTAACTTTAGATTAGATTTTTAAGATCTGATATAAGTTTAATTAATTATAAGAAGAGAAAAAAAAATCTAATTGAAGAAAAAATAATATGATTACTATACCATCTACCGGAATGTATGTGAACTACATTTTCATATATTTATTATGATTTTTATTATTATGATATTGTATGATAGTGTTAACAATATAAGTTGTATTCAATATTCAAATTCAATATTATATAGCGAAACAACGATAAAAATTATGATATTTAATAATATCGTGAGATATTATCACCGTAGAAATCAATTTAAAGTTGCATGAAAACGTATCTTAATACAAATGATGTAGTAGATGGCGCAGCAATCGCTTTTCTTTTCTTCTTATTCTTTTTCTAAATGTGATATTCCAAGTGTAATATTAAACGTTGAATATTTAGAGATTAGATTGTTTATCTGAGAATAAAATATAAATTAATATCAAAGAGAAAATTCAGCTTATATTTTACAAATAAAATATTTCATGAAAAATTGAAGTAATTTTTAATAGTTGGATTATTTGTTGAATAACGTATTTTTGTAGTGTCTTTGCGTCTTTTTCATATTTTTTTTACAGAAGCCATAGAGTGATAATTTGAAATGTGATTTTATCAAAAATATGTGTTCGATAATATGAAATTAATGGTGAGTACTTCATTTAATAATATATATAATATATAATTTAAAAATAATTGCAAATGAAATAAATTTTTGATAATATTAAATAATTCTTTTTCTTTTTTTTTTGTTAAAAATGTTCTTAAAAATCTAAATAACTATCTTTTTAATATATATATATATATATATTATGGTTAGAAATTTCCATTTATTTATTTATTTCAATGTTAAAAATATATATAAGTTTATATTAAATTATATTAGTATATATATTCAACTTTGAATAATCTCAAGATAATTCAAATAAAATGTTATAAAATAAAAAAGAACTTTTTTTTTTTACACATTGTATTATAAGGTAATATATTTTTAAACACAACAGTTATTTTTAGGAACAACTGTTAATCACAATTATTATATTTTAAATTTAATAAAATTAAAGAATATTATCATTATAATAATACAATAATTTAATTTCTACATGTCTATATGATATCTTTGATATTGGTATTTTTAAATTTTGATACACAATTTCTGAAAGATTGTAAATTATTGATTTCTATTTAATTTATCATACAAAGATTCCAGTTGTAAATAACAAAATATAAAATTCACATTATATATTGTATAATATTTTCAAAAAATGCTTTATTATGATATTAATAAAATTGATAAATATTTCCAAATTAATAATTATTTATAACATTTAAGATTTATATTCAATTTGTTCCAATTAAGTTTGCAGTAATAAATTTTTATTATTAAAAAATATATGTTTTATAATTACAATAATAACAATAGTTATCATTTTGTAATTTATATATTTTATTTTTAAATAAAATTTTGCAAGATATAAATTAATATAAATTCAATTTTATTTGTGCAATAAGTTAAATGCAGTACAAAATTAAGTATTTTTGTATTATTGTAAACCAAGAATAAAACTTAAAATAATTGAATTCATTTTTTAAATCTTGATAAGACGATATATTTTTATTGTCTTATTTTTTTTAATTTTTATTGTCTTATTTAATTTTCCAAAGATTACACTGTAAAAGTATATTACAAATATTTTAACTGATCAAGGATATTCTTTGAATTTATGTCATGCAATTATATTTTAAATTAAGATTTTGTATATTCACGTTCTTTAATCTTAAAGAACTCTCTATTCAACATATCTATTATTATCATAACTAATATTCTTTATATTTCTAAATTTAAAATTATATATTTAAAAATTTTAAGAGCTAATTTAATTTTTTAATCTATTAATTTTAATCTTATAAATATTCTAGGAATGAATATATATTCATAGCATAGACATTAAGATAATTACAGTTTTTACTTTTTTGATAGTAAAATTGTATTCTTTTTTTCTCAAAGAGAAAGTATTTTATGTTCCATAATTATGATTAGGAATGGGATTTAGAATTTTCGATTGATGTTAAAATGATTCCAAAATGATTTAAGTATACGATCTTTTATTTTTGAATGTTGAATGTTAGGAATCATAAATAAAATTCACGAACATAGCATATGTGTAACAATCTATAATTTATTCAATTTGAATGACTCAAGTCTCATTCCATTTTATACATAGTAAGAATAATAATTCTCTGAATAATAATTTTTTTATATTATTTTTAATATCATTTATAAATGTTTTTAATATCATATATTTTTTTAATATAAAATTTTTGTGTAATATATTTTGGCAAATTTTAACAGAAACATTATTAACTTATTTATTATTTTATTTATTATAATATTCTATTCTCAGCATATATGATATATATAAAAATTTATATATATATATATTCTTAAATAGCAAGACAAACTTTTTATATATATATATATATATATATATATATATATA